ACCTTCCCAGCCCTGTCATTCAATTTCTCTTGTTCTTATCTTTTCTCTTTACCAACTTCCAACTTCATGGGCATAGAATTCACATACCCCATTATTCTTACAAGCATATTCTTCAGTGCTAGTGTTATATTCTTATTATTGCATTCCTTTCAAATTAGAAGGAAATCTGGCAGCCAGTGGACATATTTAAATAGAAATGAAGAATAGTAAAAGTGTCTCTATTTTCCCTATGAAATATGCATTATTAAAAATGACAAGACAGTGGTAGAGTGCTTGCCTTGCATGCATGAGGCCCTGGGTTCGATTCCTTAGCACCACATAAGCAGAAAAAGCTGACTTTGATCTCCTAAAAAGACTCTGACCTCCACTAAAAAGCCAGAAGTGGAACTGTGGCTCAAGGACACAGTATTAGACTTGAATTTTAAAAAAAAAAAACAACAACAACACATGGGCTTTAAGTTAAAGCCCCAACACACACACACACACACACACACACACACACACTTACAAAGGAGTTTATATTTACATTCTTGTTTTGAAGACTACTTAAAAAAACCACCATCTAACCTAGTACCATTAGTAGTCCCAAAAGGTCTCACTCTTAACTCTGGAACCTCTAAATGTAATTTCCTGCCTCTCCAGTTTGCCTAGTGTGAGGGACACTGCCACCTACTGTCTTCAATTCAAATTCTAGCATAGAACAGAAATGTATCTTTTTTTTCAATTACAAATTCTACTTCTACTTTTACAGTGTTTTTATTCTAAAAATCAGATAAAATGCTATTCTCATTATTAAACTTTGTTGTAAACAATTCTGAGCCTGCTTAATAATAAAACTCATAACAATTTAATAATAATGGAACTCATAATCTTTTTATGACAAATCAAGAGTAATCCTCTAAGCTCTACCTATCAATCATGCAGTTACCATAGGCACAAGCTCAACCTGTAACTCTTGGGAACATAAGGTAAAATCCATAACAACCTTTCTTGCCATTTGAATGCCCAGAAAACCCACAGGGGACTGGACCATGCTTAGAGAGATTTTTTTTTTTTTTTGGTCGGCCATGGGGCTTGAACTCTGGGCCTGGGCGCTGTCCCTCAGCTCTTCAGCTCAAGGTGAGCGCTCTACCACTTGAGCTACAGTGCCACTTCCGGTTTTCTGGTGGTTTACTGGAGATAGGAGTCTCACGGTCTCTCCTGCCCGGGCTGGCTTTGAACCTCGATCCTCAGATCTCAGCCTCCTGAGTAGCTAGGATTACAGGCGTGAGCCACCAGCGCCCGGCTTGCTTAGAGAGATTTTTAATTCCAAGTGAACTCCATATGTGATTTTTAGAGGAAGGGAAAGAACAATAATAAACAATATCAATAAGTTTAGGGGCAGGGTAGGTAGTGTGTCAGACACCTGGACAGTTTTATCTTCAACCCAAGACTATTGACACAGAAAAAAAAACAGGTAAGTTTCAAATGAACTATATGCTAATTTTAATTTGAGGGGGGGTTATTGTTTTTTGTCGGTTGTAGGGCTTGAACTCTGGGCCTGAGGACAGTCTCTCAGCTCTTCAGCTCAAGCTGAGTGCTTTATCACTTGAGCCACAGAGCCACACCAGTTTTCTGGTGGTTTACTGGAGATAAGAGTCTCAAGGACTTTCCTGCATAGGTTGGCTGTGAACCAAGATCCTCAGATCTCAGCCTCCTGAGTAGCTAAGATTACAGGTGTAAGCCACTGGAGCCCAGCTAATTTTAAGTTTTATAACTCAACTTTATTTTTCCACAAAAAGTAGGTAGTTTTTTTTTCATTCTAATAATTCACAATAAAAAGCCTGGAAAAGCCAGATGCTGGTGGCTTATGCCTGTAATCCTAGCTACTCAGGAAGCTGATATCTGAGGATCATGGCTTGAAATCAGCCTGGGGAAACAAATTCAAAAGACTTCTATCTCTAATTAACCAGCAAATATCTGGAAATAGAAGTGAAGCTCAAGTGGTAGATAGAGTACCAGTCTTGGATGAAAAAACTAAGGGAAAGAGCTCATGGTCCTTAGTTCAAGCACTATTATTCAAAAACTATTACTGATAATACACACACACATATAGGCCTGGAAAATAGAAAACAGTAAGAGTAACAAAAAGATAATTCATTATTTGCATTTGAGCCTTTCTGAGTTCTTATGTTACTTCAGCTTTGTCTTGCTTTTTTTTTTCTTCTCTTTAAATCACTGTTGTTAAATTAGCCAGATGAGCTGCAAATTTCCTGAGCTTAAGCAACCTTTCTCTTAGCTGTCTGGCTAGTATTATAATGGACACTGTTATCAATAAAGCTATACTCATGAGTACAGAATATTTCATCAAATAAACGCATCACAATTTGCTTCAGCAAGTTTCAATAATCAGTTAAAATCATTTCAAATTTATTATAAACATGAGCATCCTCATGTTTAGTATTATTTGAAGAACAATTTCAATAAGAGGAAAAAGATGGCCCATTTTAAATTACT